AATCGGCCTAAAATCATTCGGTCAATTTTTTACCAGATGTCCCAAAATTTATGAGAACAGCTGTAATAACCGGGTGGGGATTTAAAAAAAATTTTATATAAATTTTATAAAATTTTATATATGATATTTAAAAAAAAAAGCCGGCCGGCCGGGTCTATTTAAAGTTTTATGTTATGAAAACCAAGTAATTAAATTTGTATGGCCTAAATTCGAAATTTATAAAAATTTCTTATTATATAATATGTAAAGTTAGATAATAAATTCACTGAATAAATTCGTATTAACATGGTTTTTTCTTTTTTTTTGTGTAATAAAAATTTTTAACCTGCTGAGTTACGAGATCAAGTTGTGTATCAGATTTTAAATAGCGATTATGTGGCTGATTTTGATGGTCATGCAAGAGAGGAGGCTGGTGAAACGTATTCTCAGTGAAATGCTGGCTTACCGATAAACTAATTGCAATTAATTTTTGTCATACATAATAAATAAAATTCGATTAAAATTACATAAATTTAATTGAAATCCAATTAGGCTGTCAAGAATCATGTAATTGCACAAATACTGTAAAATTTCGGTGCATTTTCAGAATTTACTAAATTTGGGAATTTGCGGAATCTGCAGGAATATTTTGACGATTGTCCTAAATAATTAAAATTCCTGCATAGAGTTACCAAACAGTATCGGTAGTGTTGGCCAGTTAGCTGCAAATAATCTAATACAATTATTTACATAAAATAATGCGCATCCTAATTTAAATATGAAACTCCAACAACGACAACAAAGACTGAAACACCGACAGAACGACCGACCTCTCCTCATAAATATTTATTTGCTATATCTACTTGTTTTTTGCATGTCTTATTCTATCTTCTCAAAAAATGTTGCAAAGAGCTTACTGTATTATTTGGTTATTGGCCTTTATATCCATAGTCGCAGCAGACTGTGACTCTAATACAACCTGCAAGTGTCCTATTGGTTTGACTCAAGGGCAATACTGTGGTGGTGATATTGGTAAATAATGGATTTTTACTCGTATTTGCGGTACATAACTTTTTGTCATCTTCAAACTTTGGATTTATTCAGGCTGCGACAGTGCACAAGTCTATGAATGTAGCCCTAATGGAAATACTTGTACTTATGGTAATCGGACCAGTTGCGAGCAATGTGGGGCTTTACAGTGTCCAAGTCCTGTTGTTTCGGCAAGTTCCAGTCTAACCTCACCTGAACCTACCTTTCTGATAAACTCCAGTCAAATTCAAAATCCACCCCAACCTACTAGCGTGAATGCCAGTTCAGTTTCAACCCAACTTGCTATTGTGACAAACCCCAGTCAAATTCCTTCAACTGATAGACCTACATCAACAAATTACGAAACTCCAACAACAACGTCACAGCCGTCACAAGAAGATCCGGCGTCTCCTCAAAAATTTTTGTTTATTGGAATTGGTAGTGGTATAGGTGGATTAATGTTAGTCGGTTCTTTAATTTTTGCTGGAATTTTTTTCTACAAGAGAAATAAATCTCACCCAATTCCAACACCTGGAAATGTGAATGCTAATGGCAATAGAAAAAAATTAAACCCAATTCCAACACCTGGAAGCATGAGAGATGAATTATAAGTTCAGGTCTAATTTTTAATCCAAATATTAAGTTCATTCCTTTTATTAAATACATATCATTTTCGTATACTATACATTAAACTTTGAATATGCTTCAAATTTTGTTATCACACTTTAATTAATTGTTTAGAAATAGAAGTAAATAATGTATTGACCCTTTTGTGGTCAGGTCATTCAAAGTCAATTTTTAATTACAATGTAAAAACGGCATTAATTAGAATTTAATTTTTTTTTAACTTATTTCATCAATCAAAAATATATTTGAACTTTTTTAATTTTATTATTGCCAATCGAAAAGATACGCCAATGTACGTACGATAAGTAGCTGCTCGACATTGTCGCTCTAAACTAGGAATGGATTATTGGACACACAGTTACGATATGGAACATCTATGCCGATTGTCACATACTACGTATATAAATTTGAAACAAAAAGTACAATATGTTACATAATGTGGTAAATGCGCGGAGGCTAAAAGCTTAAATAAATTAAGAATTAGCCGTGACAATATATTTAATTTAATAAGTAGCTGCGCGACATTATCGCGCTAAACCATGAACGGATGAATGTATTAGAAAACGTCGGACAATTCCAATACAGAATAGTAATATATAGTTTTGAATTCAGATACATAAAATATCGGATGTATAACTAAAAATATACATAGCTATATTGTTATGAAACGTTATAATTCAAACAGCAAGAAATTTCATAAAATTTTAAGACGTATATAGTATAGAGTGTAAAATACCACTTTAAACCATATTATACCAACTCACTATAATTTTCTAATGCTAACCTTCACACCCATGCCGTATGGATTGGTCATACTAATCTGTATAATTTAGAAATGTTCTTGGTAGATGATAATTCTACAGACTGATATGTAGCAAGAAGCTAAATGAGACAGCTCATATTAAATACTTAGACTAATTAGACCAATAACTAATCTCTAAACTTGGAGGCTAAGGTGCTCCTAATGTGATTAGCTAGCTACCGATATAGTGCATAAGTACTATGATTAATTGAAGTAATCCTTACTGTAATTTTGCTAAAGATTCATAACGCGAACGCAGATAATAAATTTTAGCCATTCAGAATAAGTCTATGCCAAAAAAAGGTAGTTTCAAACTTTTTTTTCATCGCGATAATGAACCTACTTACCGGCTGAACTACTTTCCTCCAATTAAAAATTGAGTTCCGACCTATTGATTTATTACTTGAGAGTACCTTAAATCATTATAAATAAAAATTTAACCGAGAAATTAAATTCTGAAGATGCTTATTTGAAATATCATGTGCTTCAGATAAGCCGTTGTCTAAAGAAACAGTTGACAACAAATCTATATTTGGTTAGTACAATTCCGAAGGACATTAAAAAAGCACATTTTTATAAATGACTTCATTCACTTTAATTGAGACAAAAACCTGTTAAGACAATAAAAAAATACAAGTTGAACGTTCGTTATAGTTAAACAAATCTCATTCATACGAGTTGACCTAGAGAACAGATCGAAAAAATGCTACACAGGTTGATCCGCCTCGTGAAACCATCAACCGGAATAAACCCAATTCCGGATAATCAAAGGAGGTGAGTATGATCTGGATGACTTTCCACAAGCAGTAATCACTAACTTAATAAAGGCGCAATGAGAAGAAAGATAAAGTCTTTGGAAATGCAATTGGGACCTATATCAACAATCGCTTACTCAGCTGCAACAGCTGTGAATATCAATATCACATGTTCATACTGTAACCATCGTAAGGGAGAGCATGATACTGTCATGCCGAGTTTAACTCAGATGGTTGACGTTAGAAGGGTCACATGATTTGAGTAATAAATTATGGTATTCGGATATTCATTATTTATTAGGCATTTATTACAGTATAAAAAGAATGTGAACTTACATGATCTTTATTTATAGAGGAATTTGGAGAGCGAATGTTCTTCCTCATAAAAGGGCGAGAGCAAGCATTTATCTACATGTTGATTTCTTAGAACGTGATCATATGATTTTTAGCATAGATGCTATAATTTTAGCGTTGATCCTATTTTTTTGGCGTTGACGCCAAATTTTTAGCACTTGCAGGAATTAAGCCACCAGAATACATAATAGCCTAATACCACTAACGCTAAGGTAATATTAACATGACTATGATGGTACAATTATGGAAGGTGAGTGATGACTTAAAGAATTAGACAAATACGGAAGTGAAAAGACACAGGAAAAACTAATCGTTACAATACTGAAGACCGGCCTGCATTATACAGGAGGGCCAGCGCTAAGCCGCACAAACTCAATTGCTATATAAATGAACATATCACTATCACATGTTCATACTGACAGCCGGCCTGCATGATGCAGACGGGAAACCACCGGCCAGCGCTATCTATTATACATATCGCATATAAGTCCGCGGACACGTGACTTTAAACCAATTACGACACAAGATCAGGTGTAACGTGAAAACGTCCATAACTCAAATTTCGATTATAGAATCCCCTTCTGCTTTTTTTAAAAAAATTCCTTGCAAATTTTGCTATATATAAGCCACCTTTAACCCAACCCGAATGCTCACCCTTACCCTAATGTCAAGAGTTAATTTTTTAATCGTAAAATGAATTGACGATCTGCGGTTTAAATTGGCCAATGGAATTTTAGAGCATATCATCACGTAGCCGTGAAATTACTATCTGTTATAACATCTTTACCGTACGTATAATAGTCCGTCCATTCGCAGTTATTCGCAGATTTTAAAAAAGGATTACACAAACGAATATATCGATATCAATGAGATTAAAGTTATGAATATAACTTATTGTTTAGCTTGTAACACTAGTATAGAACACAAATACGCATACATAAATACGTAGTACATTGTTTTCGTTAATATTCTATAAATTTACATTTGTTCATTAACAAAAATTCTGAATTGAATCTTAACTTATGGCAATTGGAGATTTGGAATTAGTAACTTCGTACAATGATATTGTTTTACCGACTGCATGGGATATTGAAGATAAATCGCCATTTATTGATATAGATTCAAGCGGACTTAAAGTAAGTTATACAGGTAATATAAAAAATTTCGCTGAATTATATTTAATATGCTACTGTAATCATCGGCATTTAAAAGAATATCATCATAACTATTTAATTTTTTAAAAACCTTTTAATTGAAGATCTTGACGACTATAAAGCTATAATCGTTCGAGCAAATAATCCAATCCATTAATAGTGTGGGATATGTTACTTTGAAATTACAATTATAAGTAAAGAAAAAAATGGGTAATATTAATAATTACTCCGTACCATAAACATCGCCTTTGTTCTGGTGATTTTTATAATCTTTTCTTAATAGAATGATTGGAATCGGATATTGTACAAAGCAAAGCGATAAAAAAAAATAACGATTCAAATTATATAAACAATATGCTCATGCTTGGTAATAGCAAATTTACTTTATTTCCTTATTATTATATATTAACACCACTATTATAGATTAACGCCTATATCATATATTTTAGGGCAGGAAAATGAATCATGGGGTGTGGATACCATGGTGACGATGGATATTCTTTTTGTTCAGGAAGTGGTAGGCCATATGGAAAGCCATATACTACTAGTGATATAATTGGATGCTATCTAAATTTTAGAAATAAGATAGTGTATTATACTAAAATGGAATTAACTTGGATAACCAACATTTTAGAAACTGAAGTGTAAAAATTTAGTAATTATAAAATATTTAAGAAATTGCGTGCCATCTACTTAATGATTTCCAAGGCATTCTATATCTTTGTGTTGGATTTAAATCACAAGGTGGATCAGTAGAAGTGAATTTCGGCAAAGAAAATTTTAAATATTCTAATAAATTTATTAGAAAAGGTTAACCACTTTTAGCTTATTTAAAGTTTAACTTCATATATATATATATATATATATTCAATTGGCAGCAATAACTAATGAAAATATTAGGTTAAAACCAAATAATAATGCATTAGCATTGGAATATCAAGAAAAGATTTATTTTATTATAGGTAGATGTGAAAATATGCTTGCTAGTTTAACCGACAAATTAACAAAATCACTAAAAAAAAAAGGAAACCAATTAATATATTTGAATTAACCTACCGAGGAAAAATATATTTAATTATAGGAAAATATAATGAAGCATTGAAGGTTTTAACTAGATTACTAGAAATAATGCCAAACAATACAATAGCATTAAAATTTCAAAGAGAAATTAATTTTAAGATGAAAAGGTATAATTAATCTATTATTCACTTGGAGAAATTATTGATAATTAAGCAATTAAGCACGTCTCAAATCTGTGACAGGTTATGTCGATCACCGAATCGAAAAAGCATTAAGTGCAGATTTAATTTATTTTATATTCAATATTTAAGCATACTCATATATCTAAAATTTCATGCTGGAAATATTTGCTAACTACGGTTATTATAGTAAAATCTTGAGTTATTTATGATTTTTCTGTTTTCATGAAAAAATCATAAATAACTCAAGAGTTTACTATGATAACCATAGTTTGACTTTTAAGCAAATGTTCTAACACAAAATTTTAGGTATATTATTATACTTAAATATTAAATATAAAGTAAATTAAATCTGCACTTAATGCTCTTTCGATTTGGTGATCGACATAATCTGTTATAGATTTGGGACGTGCGATAATTAAACCAAATGACGTATGAGCAAAGAATGCTTATGAATTAGTTAAGGGTTGTAAGTATGATGTGTATTTCTGAATTTTAGTAGTTTAAAAGAGCTTAGAAGTAAATAATAATTCGATTTCCACTTATGTCAATCACAAGTTTGTAAGTACAGTAACAGAATTTTATAGTTATTCAATATAACTCAAATCACTTGTATCACTATAGCATGTAAATACAGAAAACCAGAATTTTTTACGTTTATTCCAATACAAAACCAATATAACTATCTAAATCACTTGTATCACTATAGCAAGTAAGTAC